CCCCACGTACTTCAACTTTAAAATTTTTTAAATCTTTTTTAATCAAGTCTTTGTTCAGACATTAGTTTTTTTATAATACCATCTTATAGTCAATTTCCCTCAGACACAGATATTCCCTTATTTGTGTTCCTAAAGTACCTGTGCAGATTTTCATATTGTAATTGTTTATTTGCAGATACGTTTCTCAGCTAGACTGTGACGTTGTTCAAGACTTGGAACTGTTACTTATTCAGCTTTTGTATTCACTACCATATTTTTTTTTAAAGATTTTATTTATTTATTTGGGAAAGAGAAAGAGCATGGGGGGATGTAGGGGGAGAGGGAGAAGCAGGCTCCCCACTGAGCAGGACACACTACCCTCACCCCACTATCCTCCCCCCGCCACCGCCCAACATGGGGCTCTATCCCAGGACCCTGGGACCACGACCTGAGTTGAAGGCAGATGCTTAATTGACTGAGCTGACATGCCCCACATTATCACAATTTTTGGCATAATTCATATAGTATTTCCTTAGCATGTTCATTGAAATGTGAAAGCAGACCAGTCAGGAGACTAAAACAAACTAGTTCAGATATTAAACTAAGATGATGGTAGGAAGAATGGCAAAAACAGATGTGAAAGCCATTTTGAAGAAAGGATAGAACTTGGATGTACAGAACAAAGCAAGAGAAAGTAACTTGGAAAATCAGTTTTAAATATTAACTGATTTAGTTTATTAATTGTACTTCTCAGGTAGAAATGTTTAGGGGTACTTTAAAATTGGCTGCTAGAACCTTGAGTTACACCTGGAGATAGATTTTGAAACCAACCTACATTTGTTTGCTATCAGGAAAAGGACCACTCTGCCATGGATGTGTTTCTGTCCCTGGGAATAGGATTCCATGCCTGGGCCAGCATTTGCCAGCAGTATAGACAATAAATGATTTCAGAGTAAGTTCCTCTCTAGAGGCCTTGCTGAAGGAAATAATGTGTAAGATTAAATATCATCCTGCCTTGGATATGATATGAATCTATTTTTTACCCTTTCCTATGTGTTTTTTTTCTGTATATGTATATACACATATATTTTCAAGTTTTCATTTATAAAGTGTCCTACTTTTGTTTCCCTGACTTTTTATAAAGCTCCAGGCTTTGCTTTTCATTCCTTCTGTTCTTTAATTGTCATCCGTCCCACCTGGAGCCTCTTTACTAATCTTTGAAGTTACTCGTTTAGATCATCATAAATTTGGGGTTTTGCAAATTCTTTTTTGGTGATTATTCTGATTTACTGCATTTGAGCTTGAAGTACTGTACCTTAGGAATTCATTGCTAGTCCAAATTAAATTATGAAGAAGTATATTGGAAAATCCATCCAACTTGGTGCTTCCATTCTGCCTATCACTTTAATCCCCCTCTCTCTACTACTACATTTTGAGACCAAGTCTTTTGTGGGATTGAGGGGTGGCTTTTGGGGGGTTTAGACTGATAGAAAGGACTAATGTAAGCTAACCTATGTATATGCTTTCTGATTAGAGTTTGTAGAATCAAAGGAAAGATAAAATGTCTTTATTAAATGTTTTAGATCTGTGTTCAAAAAAAGCTTAAGAATCTGCTTTTGTGTATACATATGTCATATCATATTCTTTCTTGGTAAAATCTCACTTTTTACTTCTCCATTGTTATAACATCAGGTATAAAAGTCAAGAGAGGAGGTGTCAGTTAACAAAATAGATGTAAGCCCTTGCTGTGTTTGCTTGAAAAAAGCTGACAAATTCCATATACCGAAGATTCTATGGTATATATAATATAAAATGTAGTATGATTTTATTTGAAATTTTTAAAAAATTTTCGTTTACCAAGTTGACTTCACTATATTTGGTATTACCAGTAATTTCAATATACTGTTGATATATCCTCTTAGACATTGATAAAAATTGATTTCTAGATTCCTTTGATTCCTACTTACTCTCTTCTAGGAGATAATGTGAAGGCCTTACCCTTTGGTATAATCCATTCATCCATCCATTAGTGTGAGGCCTTTCTCAAAATAGATCCTTTTCTAACCATGTCTCACCACTTCTGCCACTACCACTGTAGTCTAAGCGACTGTCCTTTCTCACCACCTGCTTTTCCCTTCACTCTTGCTTCCTCTTTTGTCCATTAGTTATAGAATAACTGCAATGGTTAAAAAATAAGATAGCTGCCAAATTATGCTCCTGAAACTATCCCCAAGCCCTTTTGACTTCTAGCTCACATAGAATAAAATCCAAAGTTCCTTAGGGCCTGCAAGGCACAACATGGTTTGGGACCACCAGTATCTCTGACTTCAGTTTCTCCCATTCTCTCTTAAGTTCCTACTGCTTGAGTCACAGCACTAAGGATCTTGATGTTGCCTGTCTGTCGAATGCTCTTCCCACGGGTCTTTGCCTAGTTGGTTCCCTTAACTTCTCTGCCTGATTGTTATCTTCATAGTTTCATCTTTCATGGCTAGTCTAAAATGCTTTTCTTACCCCATTGCATCATTCTGTGTGGAATAAAGCACAGGCCCTTAAAAATGGAATAAACTAGCTTTTGTAAGAAACTTCCTATGTTGTTCTGTCCTTTCCTTTTCTCTTTCCTTCCTTTCCTTTTCTTTTTTCCTGTTTTCCTTTTTATTCCTTTTTTGCCCTGGATCAGATAATTCTTTGTTTCATCTTAGAACCCATTCCTGGACTTGTGTTGCATTTGGAGCATAGAATATTAACACTTTTAACTTTTTTTTTTTTTTTTTTTGCTGAAGTCACATAAGAATAATTAGTATTTTCGCTGATATGTAATTTCTGTGTTGAAGTGCACAAAACAAAAATGAAATTCTGAATATTTGTGTTTTCTCCTTCTCTCCCCTCCTCCCCCCTTTCCTCCCTCCCTCTCGTTCTCCCTCTCTCTCTCTCTCACTCTCTCACAGACATACACAGAGCAGTGAGTGTAGGAAAATCTTGTATTAATGAACAAACATTTCTGCCTTCCTTTGAGACATTACTTATGTTTAGTTTTACTTTCAAACAGTGAAGCCTCTTATAAATATTAGCATGAAATTTTTTATTCAATATACTTAATTTCAATTTTGGAATTCTAGGAGTCAGTAATTGGTTTTGATGATAAATGTTATACCAAAATTGTCAAACGAAGAGTTTGCTTTGTATGCATTGAGTTGATTTATGTGTGTATGATTTGAAGAGAGGTAACCATGAGATTCTCTTGAAATTTTACTGAATTTTCTAGGTAACATGCCGTTTCCCCATGTTTATCCTTTCTTAGAATTCAGTAATAATGGTCCTTTAAAGAGAATTAAATGTATCCTTAACTTTTCAAAATAAACTTTTAAAATCTCATCTGTGAAGAGTCTTAATTTGTAGACTAAGGTGCTTTTTTTCACTATTACTTTTCTGCAATAAAACTCCCTAAAAAAACACTTCTTTTTCCTGTTAAGGGATACTTATGGGTTTGGTGGATAGGCATATAGGATTCTACTCTCTGAAATTACATTCAGAATTACAGAAGAATTTTTATGAGATTTACCAGGGAGTCTACTACTAAAAAAGATTAAGTATATTCTAACAAAATAATAAACCCTTTAAAAATAACTTTATTTCAGACCTAATGAGATTAATAGCCCCAAAGCGTACAGCAAAACAGTGTCTAAGCTGTCATCAGACCATTGCTGATATTTAACTTAAAAACTTTCTCTCAGACCTCAAAAGGATGAATGGTTAAATATTTGTTCTTAAGAACTTAATAGGGACCTTAAGATATAACAGCAGTTATTAAATAGCCTGATGCTTTCAACAAACTTGCATGTCAAATTTGGTCATTAAAGACTGTAGCTTATCAGTTCACCATGTCTACCGATAAACAGTAGTAACTACACTGTCTTATTTTGAAATGAGAAATAAAAGGAATTGTTAATTTCTTAGTGATAATTGAAGAAAATACCCTTATTCACAATGAGTGTATAAGACAGATGTCAAATTTGATGTTTTTCCCCCAAATTTTTGTGCAAAGATATAGTCACCATGTATTCAAGTCTTTACAGATGTCTTCCATCATGACATTTCACTTTACTTTGGACTACAAAGTGCCATTGTTGGGAGACACATTGACCATAAATAACATAGTCAGTTGATAGTTTTGGAAACTTTATTAAGAGGTCATCCTAAGGAAGAAAATTAGCGTGGGCTGCCTCCCTGGCTGAATTAGTAGAACATGCATTTTTGATCTCAGGGTCGTGAGTTTGAGCCTCACATTGGGTGGAGAGATTGCCTAAATAAAAGAAGCATTAAGACCATTTTCTAGTATTGCCTTAAAAAAAATTAGTATAGATTTAGTAATTATTTGCATTGGTGTGGGCTCAAAATTATTAGTGTCAGATGTGGGAAAGATTGAAAAGCAAAAGAGTAATAAGCAGGTTACATAAAGAAATCATAAATTTACACCAAGATGATAAACATCACTGTTACTAGTGGGTACTTGTGGCTTGAGATAAAGTTTCTAGTCTGCCATTATATGTTGACTCAAAAAGTGCTGTATCTCAATAAACTTAGATTGTCAGTGAAGATGATACGCTCTGAAAAACAGATTATTTACAAAAGACATAGTGATATCAAAGATACATGTGAAGATTTTGAATAATTAAACCCAAAATTAATTTTTAAAATTTTCTGTGGGAAAATTTTATTTGAGGTTGCAAATTCTCAAGATTAAGTGGTATATATTTCTTTAAAGTAAGTGGAATTGTTGCATATGATAGGCTTTATTAAGTTTCTTCTCTTGCTTTTAGAGCCTGGAAGCAAAAATTTAATGTTATATTCTTATAGTTAGTTAGATTTATGACTTTTTCACATGACCCATTAGCCCTTCCTTAGTTGGTCTGTTTCTTTATCTTAGTATTGTTTCCTTCATTTTCTGTTTTCCACATAGGAGTTTTGTAAAGCTTGACATTTTCCGAAATATTACTCTTGATAAAAGCAATATTTTTGTTTAGGTGACAAACAGCATGTTTGGTGCTTCAAGAAAGAAGTTTGTAGAGGGGGTCGACAGTGACTACCATGACGAAAACATGTACTACAGCCAGTCTTCTATGTTTCCACATCGGTCAGAGAAAGATGTAAGTTAATCAGTTATATTGTGTTTACTCAGCAATGAATGTTTCTTTGTGGTTCTGGAAAAGCAGTATATGAATTGCAGAATACCATGTTTGGTTGAGTGACTATGTTTTAGGCACAGTGCTAGGCCCTGGGGATACAAAAATGATGAGCTTACATTTTAATGGGAGATAAAATGTCCTGTGATTCTGAAGTTGGGATATGGTAAAACTGGAAGCCCTAAAAGACAAGAGGTAAACATTGTATTACATCTAGGTCATCAGTTGTTTTTCTTAACTTGTTATTTTTATATTAAGTAGGCACATAGAGTAGAAAGCAGATTTGCAAGATTTAAAGATATAATGGCAGAATTAAATGAAACTTTACCGTTGCTATCGAACCTTCAAGCTGTAATCATAAACTTTAGTTAGTAAGAGCATCTCCTGTTCAGCTGTAGGAATGCTACTATAGAAACATTTTTGAAGAACTATATTCAGAACATTGAAGCTGTTACATTATAGAGGTGTGGATTAAGTGCCTTGGAAGGCTAGTAGTTCTGTAATCCCATTTGGAATGAAAGGATTTAACACAGCCAAGTCATAATTAGCAAATTGATAAAATATTTTTAAATAAATTGTTATTTTCAAATTCTTGTAAACCTTTTAAAAACAGTATACATAATATACTGTAGTAGTCAAACCAGTTACATTTTTGTACTTTGTATCCACACACCTTTTTTCTCCTTTCAACCCTTTTTATGAACTTGCTATTCCTAATTTCCCTACCTATATAACAATCTATTCTAGTTATTAAGCTATTGAGATTCTTACTTATGTTTAAAGCATTTATAAAATTCTAAAATATGTAAAAAATGCTCTCATTTTTCATTGAAGTTGATCATTAGTAAATCACTTCCTATGTCTTAGAATTCACAGATTGGCTTAATTTAGATTTAGGATTTTGGTGAATTTTTTTCTCCTTCTGTTGTGCTGTTGCTCCCCTTTATTTTTATTTGAAAATTATTTCATTTTGTCAGTGATGTATCAGTTGTGTTATTAGGGCTCTTTTCAAAATATGTGGCAATTTTATAATTAGTGTGCAGTTTAATAGCTCCTTGAATAATGTCATCTAATTAATTTTCTGTTGCTTTACTAACCATATAGCTATTTGTTCTTGGATGTAAATTATAATTGAATTTGTTTTTACTGAAATTTCTATGTTTATGTGTTCCCGTGTTGATATTGTAGTTAAAGAATGTCATGTTGCTTGTAAAACCTATAAAGCTAATCCATGCGTGTATTACTGTGATTGTATAATACAAGTTAAGTTTGATGGAAAAAATGGTAGTGGAATATTACTTATTGGTGAAAAGTACTTATTCTGATTAGGAAGATACAAAGCATTCAAACTGAAATCTGGAATAAAGTATGTACAGAGAATGACAGAGATGTCTGTCTTCTAGAGAGCAGAAATACTCTATATCAGAGGTTTTTAATCAGAATGATTAAATACACTTATATATGTTGGTTATCATTTCTGTTTAGTTGTCACAAAAATAACACAGGATGATTTTCTTTACTAAACTTTTTAAATTAAGAAGGTAGTAAGACATAGAGATTAAGAATTTAGGGTCTAAAGCCTTACCCTTATGTGTATGGACCTTCGCTGGGCCTGTTGGCAAGAACTCCAAGCCTCAGCCTTTTCTTCTTTAAGCTGGGAATAATAATATAATAGCTACTTAAAAATTTCTGATGCTGCTGATAGCTTTTTTGTAACAAAATAGTATAGGGACAGTATTGCAAATTTTAGAAAACATGCATGAGAAAGGAGAAGAAAAATTACCCTTATAATTTACTGCTAAAATTTTAACTTAATACTTTAAATATTTTTATTTTAAAATGTTATGTAAATCTCTGGGACATGTCTGCATATTTTCCACTAGAAAGTTTATACCAGTTTCTACTTTCATCAGCTATTACCTTTAAGTCTTTGCAATATACAAAAAAAGGCTTATCGTTTTAAAATACATTAAGACGGGTCCCTGGATAGTCAGTGGGTTAAGCATCCATCCTTAATTTTGGCTCAGGTCATGATCTTGGGGTCATGAGATGGAGCCCTTCATGGGGTTCCATGCTAGGCATGGAACCTGCTTAGAGAGTCTCTCTCTCCTTTTCCCTCTGCCCCCCTCCACCTTAAAAAGTACATAAAGATGTTGCTAAATTTACGCACACTCAATAATGTATCTTTTGTATGTAGTTTGTATGTATGTAGTTTGTATGTATGTTTGTTTGTATGTAGTTACTGGCCATTTGTATTTCTTCCTTTGTGGATTACCTATTTTTTGTGCCATTTTGTTTTCTCTTGATATGGTAAGTCTTGTTTATTTGTTAGTGTTTTCTATAAATTAATGGTCTCTTGTACTTTGTTACAAATATTTTCCCAGGTTTTTCTGCCTACAGTTTAGTGAGTGGTTCTTTAATATAAAAATATTTATCCTTCTTACTAAATTTGACTCATCAGTCTTTTTATATTTGTGGTTTCTGTTTTTGAGATCATACTTAGACTTTTTCCATCTACTTTCTTCTAGCATTTTTGTGCCTCATTCTTCAGATATAACTTAGCTGCCTTAGTAAAGTATTTTGGTTGGGGTGCCTGGGTGGCTCATTCGGTTAAGCATCTGACTCTTGATTTTGGCTTAGGTCATGATCTTAGGGTTGTGAAATTGAGCCCTGTGTGGGGCTGTTTTGGGTGTGGAACCTGCTTAAGATTCTCTCCCTCTGCCCCTCCACCACCAACAATCTCTCTCTGTCTCTCTCTTCTCTTAAAAAAAAAAAAAAAAGTTATTTTGGTTTAAGGTGTGAATATAATGGTGCCCAGTTCTCTTCCCTGTATTCTTCCCCCAGTTTCTCGGTGAGCATGTCCAATATCTAATTGTCCCAACATCAGTTATAATTTAGATCACAGGTTAGAAAACTTTTCCATAACGGACCAGATAATAGTATATTATGCGGGTATTTATATAACCATTTAAAAAGTAAAAAAAAAAGACCTACATGTACCTACAAATACAAGCAGTGTGCTAGGTTTGGCCTGTAGGAAGTAATTTGCTCACCGTTGAGTTAGAGCATTCATTTAAGGCTAATTGAAATCCTCCCTTAATATATTTTAATGTCTGGTGTATTCTGGGGCCTGTTTCTCAACTCTTTTGTTCTGTTTCTCATACTGATTCTATGGCAGAACTACAACATAGTTGAATTGCTGTTGCTTTATAGACTGTTCGCATCTTAGGTAAGGTCTTTCACATCCTTTATAAACATTTATATTGCTGATTACCTTTTTTCAGAAGTCTAGGTCTCCTATTTCTGTTCTTTATGCTTTTTTAATAAGTAGGGTTTTATTTTTGTTACTTTTTTCTGATTTGTTTTTTATTGATATAGAGAATACTTTGTGTGTGTGTTTATTTTATAACCAACTACCTAACAAAACTCTTAACTAGTTTTTGTTGAATGGGAACAGGAACATGGGCTCAGCAGGGCCTGCTATTTGATTTTATATCTCATTCACATGATGTACTAGCTAGTTGTCCTTGGGGAAGTTACTCAGTCTCTGTGTTTCAGTTTTTTCATTTATAAAATAGGAATAATAGTATATGACTCATGTCTGGTTATAACTGTATGCAAAACTTTTAGAAGACCAGATAGTAAATATTAAGTAAATTTTGCTACTAATATATGAACAATAATCATATTATTCCATTTGACTCTTTTGTGTTTTTTAACGTAGTTATATATATCATCTGCAGATAGCAGTTATTTTATTATTTTATTATAAAAACTATTGAAGAGAAAGTTTTTAAACATAAATGACAGGTGATTTTGTAATTTTTTTCTCTCTGGGAACAGTGAGAAAATAATTTCAAATTCTAATTTATGATAAAGAAAAACTGGCCAGTGATTCGGTCTTTAAGCCACTTACAAACAAAATCCTGATTTACCTTATCCATAAAGTATAAAATATAACTCTGTCATATGCATGGTTGTAAAAGTATTTGGGAAGCTGTTCTTTATGTGACTCTATTAATTAAATTATGAAATAGTTATTCAGGACTACTTCCCTTTCCAAGGCCTTTTATATCAAGAGATACTGTATATCTTTGTATCTTTCTATAGAATGCTGAATTTGCTATTTGAAGTATACAGTTAGTTTTATAAATACTACAAATATGTTATTTAAATGTTTTTCAAGATTAAATAAATCATAGGCAGATACAGACTTGATTTCCTTTTTCTCATAATTACTTTCTTTTGGGGGACATTATAGAAAATTAAAAGCATTCATATAAGGTGTTAATAGACAACTCTTAGGGGGGATTATATAATTTAAGCAGCGTAGAGTTGTTGTTTTAAATATATTTGTATTTTAATTGCTAACACTTTAAAGTCCTGTGAGTCTGTGCACTCACTTGATTCTTAGGCGTAATCATTTTAAAGGCACAAACTTTTCCCTTGTTTTTATATATGCTGTAAAGGCATAAAATGTGACACCTTTTCCTTACGTTCAAAAAAACTCATTAAACTGGTAAGAGTAGACCACTTCCTTGTTTTGACAAATAGCAACATTCTGAATGCATACCTAGCTTTTTTTTTTTTTTTTTTTTTTTAATTTGACAAAGATCACAAGTAGGCAGAGAGGCAGGAAAGGGGGGAGGGAGCAGGCTCCCCACTGAGCAGAGAGCCCTATGCGGGGCTTGATCCCAGGACCCTGAGATCATGACCTGTGCCTAAGGCAGAGGTTTAACTCGCTGAGCCACTGAGGTGCCCCACATACCTAGCTTTTGTACTTGTTAGCCTATAACAGTTATGACTGCTAGGATTTCTTGCAGGCCAATTAATAACCAATATTTTATAATGCAAATCTGTTATAAAATAAGGATACTTTTTTTCACCATTATTGTCATTGGCATGATTAGTATTTAACTGCATTTTGGAGTCAACGCTTGGCTGACTCTCCAGTTCATTGCATT